TTGCAAATGGCAAGATCTCATTCCTTTTGATGGCTGCATAATATTCCATTGTATATATATACCACATCTTCTTTATCCATTCATCTGTCGATGGACATCTGGGCTCTTTCCACAGTTTGGCTATTGTACTCACTGAAAGTTTCTTTCAAATTATCATTGCTTTCCTAATTGCAACTTGAGGGTTCTGTATCTTAAATTTTAAGAAGTAGCATATAGAAGCCAGCAAAAAACAGGAGTGAATTAGTTGTTCTCATGTCCCCAGGTCCTGGGGAGGTTAACTTTTTTTTTTATCAAATAACTTGAGAAATCCTGTGATCCCCATAATATTTCTAGAGCCTTCCAGGAAGAGGAGGAGAATCATAAGAATGGACTTTTATCATATATCATTTTGCTTTCCAGATTCCTTCTTCCTAAATTGAGTTTTAATCACTATTCACTGCTTTATCTTTTGAAATGTCTTCTATCTACCTAGTTCCCTAAATGTGACGACAGCTTTTCACTTTCATTCCTCCAAACTACTGCTGTATGCTCACTGTACACTATAAATTTTATGAAAGCTTTATAAACTGTATTTTTATACCACTATAAAGAGCAGGATTAAAACTGATTTGGAAACGTGGTTTCTAAATCCTCATGACCACTCTGCACACCGAGACTTTATATTTATTGGCCAAGTGTCTTGTTGAGCCCTGGCCCAATTATATGTTCTGGACTCCTTTCCCTCCTATGCCTTGCTGTGTGAATTACATGTACGTGCAAACATCCCAAATTCATTTTATTTTTTTAAGTTTTTATTTAAATTCCATTTAGTTAACATACAGTGTAATATTAGTTTCAGGAGTACAATATAGTGATTCAATACTTCCATACATCACTCGGTGCTCATCACAAGTGTATTCCTTAACTCCCATCACCAAATTCATTTTGCTTTAAAATTGAAAAAGTAACATTTCATTTGAGCCAATCATTTCTGAACTGTACTTGCCCCAAAAGCTTTCCTTTCCCCAATGGAAAAAAATTTTTAAAAAAATCAAACTGTTCTCCTAAACAAACAAACAAACAAAAGAAATACCCACCCTGAGAGAAATTCATGTGTCATCCTGGAACAAAGCACAATCAATTTTCAAATTAGAAATGCTTTCTTGTTTTCCATGCTTATGGAAACAAAAAGTAATAGAATAAAGTAGAAGCAAAGTACACTACAAAGAGTGGTACATTGAAGTCAGAAGACTAAGAGTTTAGACTTTTTCCTTTAGAAGAGAGACAACTCTAAGTCACTAGCTACTCTGAGCTTTACTTTCCAATCCATGCAATAAACATATTTTGACAACCTGTTATGTGCAGGGTTGACCAAGCAAAGGTAAGAAAACTCTTTGCAAAAGAAGGCATGATGCACAGTGTTTACAGATGCAAAGTCATTTCTACTTGACAGTCTTTATGGAACCTTCCATCTCTGGCGTTAAAGGGAACACATTCTTGTTCAGTGAATGCTGGAAGGTTGAGAGTAGGAACACATTGTCCCCTTCATGCTGCCAAGGCAAGTGGCAGATAAGACATCCTTAATGACAGTATGTCACCCGAATGTTCCTTGATTTGATCATTTGTAGACAAGTCTTCTATTTCCAGAAAGAAAACTATAAGTTCA